CCTCCCCTCTCCTCTCTCTCCCTATGCTTCTATATGCCACCATTACACATTAATAACTTTGAGTCTCCTCTCTCTCTCCCTGTACCTTTCTGCAGCTTGCCCTGGCCCTGGAGCTCTACGTCTCTGACGAGCAGTCACCAGCCACATCGACCTGATCAGTGTTTGATTGTTGTGTCTTGTTGCTTTTCTTCTTTTGTCTCTCCTCTATCCACTCACCCCAACCGGTCGAGGCAGAAGGCCGCCCACCAAGAGCCGGGGTCTGTCGGAGGTTTCTTCCGTTAAAGGGAGTTTTTCCTCCCCACTGTCGCCAAGTGCTTGCTCAAGGAGGATTTGTTGGGTTTTCCCTATGTAATAATATTGATAACAGTAAGGTCTAGACCTTACTTTGTAAAGTGTCCTGAGATGACTTTTGTTGTGATTTGGCGCTATACAAATAAAATTTGATTTGATTATTCTATACTGCCAAGTGTGAACCACAGAGCTCTCAGGGTGCAAAGATGGATAGGCCTTCCCCAAATAAACTAGGGGATTAGTCTACAACTGAAGCTGGTCAGTAGCAGCAACAGTTGATATACACACAAAACATATTATGGCACTGATTTACTGCAGAGCCTCAAGTCAACATGCTGTTAATAACTATAAATTAAACTTGTGTTTTGTATTTTATTATGAAAATTACATTTTGAGGGGCATTGGGGTGCTCTATGTTTATTGAATATGATGACCAAATAAACATATGAACTGGTTATTTGCACAGGTTTCACTCCAGATTACTCTTGCCAAGACAAAGTAATACTACACTGTCTCATATGTCACAGCAATATGAAGTCTATTTAGCACCACTGCAAACGTTAATCCCCTTCTTCAGAGCCAGTGTGAGGACTGTTTGTTATGGCTAAAAACTAAGTCAACCAGAAAGGAGCTAGCCACGGTGTGACCTGGCCGACAGATGTAGGCTTCTGTTTGCTTTGCTTCACGGGTTTCCACAGAGTTATTTGTCCTTCCCGACTGTCCGATTGTGACCTTTCTCTACAGAACAATGGAAATTGGCTGTTTATTGGTTGAACGATCGGGTGTTTATGAGAACAGAGATAGAAACCAGAAGTG